CCCCAAAACCCCAAAACCCCAAAACCCCAAAACCCCATGCATCTTTATATTTTAAACTTTTGTAAAATGAGTGGTGGTAAATTTATTAGATGATTAAATAAAGATTGATTGTCGATAGAATCAGGTCAAAGCGTATCTAGTTTGATCTCATTTCAACTGCCCTATCAACATCCAATCTCATTATATAATGATTGAAGAGCTCTACTAGTATTCAAATTTCATTCCATATTTTCAAGCGATCATTCTTTGATGAGAGTCTGTCTGTTGAGTTACTCGAGCTTCTTAAGTTATCTCTCGTAAAGCTTCTTCTAGGTGGGGATTTTGTGATGGCACATCATTACCTTGCAGTTGAAGCAGCATCCTTTCTTCTTTCTGGTTCTAATGCCCTAGTCAAGTGGTTGATTCAAAGCTTCCTTGTCCTCCTAATCATTTGGAGTCACGCTATTCTTTGAAGATTAAAGAAGACTGTTCTCATCCTCATCAACTTCTACAAAGTCTTAGGTCTCTGGCTCGCCCATTTTATTGGCAGCTCTCTTAGAGAATCTTTCATGTGAGGTCTTTCCAAGAGCAAAGTTTTTGCTATGAATGTAGAGAAGGATTGAACTTGGAACAAAGAATATGGTGCTAACTATTAAATCAAAACCTCCGAAGATTCTTTGAACAGCTGGAACGTTGCAGATGCCAAAGAAGCAGAGGGGTCCGAATGGGCTGTCAGCAGTATCTGGGATTGGTCCACGGCCTAAGCAATCCATAGAAATGCACATAACCAAGAGGCATAGCACCCACAAGAATGTCAAAAATGAAAGGTAGAGTCCATGAGTCTTGATTCCAACGCAATTATTTAGCCAGACACAATGGTGATCGAATCTCTCAACGCAGACGTTGCAAATAGAACAATGTCTAGATCTGGGGGTTCTGATTACCTTGCAGTCGGGGCAAAGTTCGCTTGGAGTAAACACCTTCATTAACTCCATAAAGTCAATCTGATGTTCGTCCGTGTTCTTGAGGATACCTGGGTCTCTTCTTGTTGCTAATATGAAAGGTAAGTACATCTTCAATCCAACCATAGTTGAGGACACAGAATAATACCACACTGGCAAGTCTATAGCGAGTTATGTAAAGCATTAATGAGGTTTTACTTGGATAGAGAATAAAGTAGAGTGAGAAGTAAACTATGAATGAGAGAACCCAGAAGAGAATCTGACTATCGTGGTTTGGCTTCAATGGCACAAGAGGAGTCTTGATCATCATACATTCAATGTATCTTTGCTTTGCCTATAATAGAGATTAATTAGAGTAGATTAAAGCTTACGAGGATATTTTTAAGATCTCTTCTAATGGGATCTGGGAGATTATCACTTATGTAATCTCTGGCCTTTCTGCCTTCATTGTCTTTGGCTTCTCTGTCGGCACCCTTGAGTAAGAGAGATCTCACTGGTCTTGTTGACTTTAAGTGCTCGACACTCTTCACTGCTAAATGAAGAGCTGTGTGGCCCTTGGAATCTTTAGCTGCAAGATCGGGATTCAAACTAAGGATATAGTTAAGTGCTACCTCAGATCTTGAGTAGACGGCCCAATGGAGAGGAGTGCTCATCTTGTTGTCGGGAATGTTGATATTCATGCCTCTGATGTGTCCAAAGTAATAAATTGGCATGGCTTGGTCACCCTAGGCTGCAATGTGCAGGACAGTTGAGCCGAACTTATTCTTTTTATAGATATCGGCATCAGTGTTCTCCATAAGGAACTTGATGATTTGGTAGTTTCCTTGATAGGTTGCGAAGTGCAAAGCACTGAATTCGTCATCAGTAACTTCGTTGACCCACTAGGTTAAAATTGAGCGTTTTTACTCGTATGATGCCTTGGCAAGGTTATTTTCACTAGCTTGGTTGTAGAGGATTATAAAGCACTCCTCTGAGTTTTTGTAGCAACTGAAGGCAAGAACTGAGAACTTTCTGGCATCCCTCATGCTGATTACATCGATGCTGGGATCATTGAAGAACAATGTCTTAAGGGATTTGACGTCATCATGTGAGATGTATTTGAACACCTGCTGAGCAAGTGGGTCCTCAACTACTGTGCCAGGCTAAATTTATGCCAAGTCTACAGAGACTGTTTGTCTGCTGATCTTGGCTAATAGCTTGGGATCTTCCTCTTCAACAATTGAATGAGACTTGTTGATCTAGGACCTAGGATCCTCTTTCTCAAGCAATGAGTTGAATTTGTTTGGGTATGGAGTTTCCTTTGGTTCATTAGGGTTGTAGAAGTTTCCATCCTGACCCTATTCGAATTTAGGTAAGGAAAATGATTGATCAATAAGAATTAGTATTTTAGGGAAGTATTATAAGATTTATGCTTACATTAGGATTTGAATAGTTCATTCCTGAACTATTATTAGAATTATTTCCTTCATTTTGTGAAGTTCCCTTGCCAGTGTTAGCATTATTGCTACTGCCCTTGAAATCTTGGTTATTCTTACCAGAATCTATAAGGTAAGTGTTATTCTATAACTAACAGTAGGGATTGTTGTTCTAATCTGAAGGTTGCATTTATTTCCTTAAATATGGTAATATTATATACTATAATAATTAATGATAATTTATACCACGTTGTTTTGAAAAAGTCATAAATTGAATCTAACTTCAAGTCAATTATCTTTGCTATAAAATAATATCAATCATTCAATCATCACTGATTCAAGCAATTTTGAGATGTGGGGTTTTGGCTCTCAGTAACGTTTGCAGTTACAT